TTTCGTCCAAGCTCCGTGTCTAATTATATCCCACCCCTACCGTTTTAGAAATTACATTATCACTTTTATGATTAATAGTCTCATTTCACAAATCTCTTGCTTATATAATAGGCAATAACTCTTATTAAAAAAATAAAAAAAATCACATTGAAAAGAAAAAAAAAAGTAAAGCAAAGCAAAGGAAAAAAAAATAAAAGAAGTAAAGTAAGAAAAAAAAGAGTGCATAGTTTAATATTTTTATTCCGTCTAAATAATTATAATGATAGAAAAATTAGTATAATTTTTTAAACTTTAAGAAATAATCTATATCTATACTATATATTAAGCAAAATGAGGTTTTTAACCGCAAGCCTTGTGGGAATTCCAATCTCCCAATCTAAATTTCTTGATTTTTGATTTTAAAAAAAAATCTTAGCATTTATTAACTTCTCCCAATTCTCAAGTTTTACCCTCATAATAACACTTTAATGCATTAAGAACAAGCATAAAAAAATTCTTTGAAATCCAACACATATAAATTTCTTGAAAAGTCCCAACACATATGATTATTATCCCTCATAATAACACTTTAATACATTAAGAACAAGCATAAAAAAAAATTCATGAAAAGTCCAACACATATGATTATTATCAAAATATTAAACTTTAAAATAATATAATAAAAAAAAGAAGACATTTAATTCCTTGAAAAGTTCAACACATATGATTATTATCAAAATATTAAACTTTAAAATAATATAATAAAAAAAAGAAGACATTTAATTCCTTGAAAAGTTCAACACATATGATTATTATCAAAATATTAAACTTTAAAATAATATAATAAAAAAAAGAAGACATTTAATTCCTTGAAAAGTTCAACACATATGATTATTATCAAAATATTAAACTTTAATATAATATAAAAAAGGAAAAAAAGAAGACATTTAAAAGAAGAAGAGGAAGAAAACATTTAAAAATCGCAATTCACACATATAGATAATTGTAAACACAATCCGTGCATAGCACGAGTGATATGCTAGTCTATACTATATATTAAGCAAAAGGGGGTTTTTAATCCCAAGGCCTGTGGGAACTTCAATATGTCAATCCTAATAATTTTCTAATTTTTTGTTTTTTTAAAAAAAAATTTAACCTCAACATTTATTAATTTCTCTCAACCCACAAGACTTTTTGACTTATCTCATAATTATTGCAGTACTTTTTTTAAAACAAATAATTTGTATATTAAAAAAATTAAAACAAACATAAATATCTATATCTATATCTATCTATTTAGACTTTTTGACTTCTCTCATAACTACTGCAGTACCTTTTCCAAAACAAATAATTTGTATATTAAAAAAATTTAAAATAAATATAAATATCTATATCTATATCTATCTATTTATCTACATCTATCTCTAACCCACAAGTTTTGTGGGAGTTTCAATATCTGAACCTTAATTTTTTAATTTCTTTGATTTTTTTCAAAAAAAAAACTTAGCACTTATTAAATTTTTCTAAGTCTTTTTAACATCTCCAATACACACACTCTTTTTAACTTTTCACATACCTATTGCAAACAGTGAGTCTCCTTTTTGTTTTCTCATTCTTGACTTCTCACTTCTACACTTTCAACTTCAGTGACCACGTATGCAAACAGTAAGTCTTTTTTTTTTATTTTCTCCTTTTTGACTTTTCCTTTTGTTTACTGTTTTAATATTGTAGTTAGATAGCGCATAAAAATATTTGTGATTTGTCTAGCGAATAAAAAATTATAATTTGATTTTTTAATAGGATTGAAATTAGATAAATATAAACCCTCACAAAGAGAAAAATGTGATTATAATTAGTTGAATGATTCTTTTTTTTAATGTGATTATAGTTAGGTTAATAATTCTTTTTTTTTCATTTATTTATTTTGTTATGTGAAAAATGTGATGTGATTGTAGTTTGTTCAATGACTCTTTTTTTAAATACGATTGTTGTAGTTAGTTCAATGATTTTTTTTAATGTTATTTAATCTTTTTATTTACTATTTTAATTTTATTTTTGATTTTTTTAATATGAAGAAAAATGTGATTATAATTAGTTGAATGATTCTTTTTTTTAATGATGTGATTGTAGTTAGTTTAATAGTTTTTTTTTCATTTATTTATTTTATTATGAAAAAAATGTGATGTGATTGTAGTTTGTTCAATGACTTTTTTTTTTTTAATATGATTGTTGCAGTTAGTTCAATAATTTTTTTTAATGTTATTTAATCTTTTTATTTACTATTTTAATTTTATTTTTAATATGATTGAAGTTATATAAATATAAACATTCACAAAGAAAAAAAATGTGATTATAGTTAGTTCGATGGTTCTTTTTTTTATTTCTTTATTTATTTTATTATGGAAAAAATGTGATGTGATTGTAGTTTGTTCCATGGTTCTTTTTTTTAATGTGATTTAATTTTTTATTTACTGTTTTAATGGTTTTTCTTTACAATTATTTATAAAAAAAATATGATTGTAGTTAGATAGCGTAAAAATATTTGTGATTTGATATGATTTTTTTTGTGATTTTATTTTTAAAGTACCAATTATTGATAATGATTAGATTGTATTTTGAAAAAAAAAATTGTAATTGATTTTTTTAACTCACTGTGTTATTTGAAAAAAAATAATTGCATTTTTTCAACTATCAATTCACTTAATTTGTGATTTGATTTTTAACTCACTGTGTTTTTTGAAAAACAAAATGGATTGTACTCATTAGAGCCATATAATGTACCAATTATTGATGATGATTATCCCCTTTTTGACTTCTCACTTCTGCACTTTCAACTTCAGTGACCACGTATGTAAACAATAAGTCTTCTTTTTGTTTTCTCCATCTTAACTTTTCCTTTTGTTTACTGTTTTAATATTGTAGTTAAATAGCGCATAAAAATATTTGTGATTTGTTTAGCGAATAAAAAATTATAATTTGATTTTTTAATATGATTGAAATTAGATAAATATAAATAGAAAAATGTGATTATAATTAGTTGAATGATTCTTTTTTTTAATGTGATTGTAGTTAGTTTAATAGTTCTTTTTTTTTCATTTATTTATTTTATTATGTGAAAAATGGTAGAGTAGCAGACAACAACACATACGTCTGTAACACAGAAACCAACCCCCAAAAATGCAGCACACAACCCCCTCACCCACCGGCTGAACAGAACCCCCCTTACACCAACATGTAATGCGGCACACACCCACAACGGAAGCAATTCAAAAAACAGAGCATACCAGCCTAACACAAAAAATCAAGGAAAAATTACCAAAAATCACCCCAAAAAATGCACCACATAAACCCCTACCCTCACCTGTTGTCGTTCAGTCAAAAACACCAACACATACAAAACTGCAAATGCTATACAAATAAGAAGACATACCTTTCAACCAACGGAGAACCGACTTCCGTTAAACTTTCTCAATCAGTCCGTCACACAGCCACCGTAAATCACTGACCCACACCACTAACAACCCTAAAGTCGCATAGGCTGAAACGTCTCAACAGGTAACATTGAAATATCAACTGTTATACCCACAAAATCTGCAGACCCACGTGATCCCCAACAGAATATGGAAACATAACAATAATGGGTAAAACTGTCCACACAGTTGCACCAAATATGGAAAATAGGATCAACAAGTAACAAACTTCCCCACTGATAGGACTTACCCGAACAAAAGAATAAAGTTGGGACTAATTGGTTTAAGAGTTTGTGAAATAGGATTTATTGGTAAATTTTCCTATTTTTTATTATGAAAAAAATGTCATTGTAGTTAGATAGCATTAAAAAAATTGTGATTTGTATGATTAGAGTTATCTCCTTTTGTTTATAATTTTATTTTTTAATATGATTGAAGTTGGATAAATATAAACACTCACAAAAAGAAAAATGTGATTGTAGTTTACTCAATGGTTCTAAATAATCTTTTTTATTTACTATTTTAATGGTTATTTTTTTTATTATGAAAAAAATGTCATTGTAGTTAGATAGCATTAAAAAAAGATTAATGAATAAAAAAAATTCTTTGAAAAGTCCAACACATATGAATTCTTTGAAAAGTCCCAACACATATGATTATTATCCCTCGTAATAACACTTTAATGCATTAAGGACAAGCATAAAAAAAAATTTCTTGAAAAATCCAACATATATGATTATTATCAAAATATTAAACTTTAATATAATATAAAAAAAAGACATTTAATTCATTGAAAAGTCTAACACATATGATTATTATCAAAATATTAAACTTTAATATAATATAAAAAAGAAAAAAAAAGAACACATTTAAAAAAAAAAAAGACATTTAAAAATCACAATTCACATATACAGAAAATTGTAAATACAACTCGCGCATAGCACGGGTGATATGCTAGTTATATATTAAGAAAAAAAAGGTTTTTAACCCCCAAGGTCTGTGAGAGTTTTAATATCCTAATCTGAATCTAAATTTTTTATTTTAAAAAAAAAACTCAGTATTTATTGATTTGATCTAAATTCCTTGATCAACATTTATTAACTTTTTTCAATCCACATGTCTTTTCACGTGCCTGCATTTATTGATTTGGTTAAAATTTTCTGATCAGCATTTAAAATTTCTTCATACAAATAATTATAGATACAATCCGTATATAGTTACTATAATATCCTTTTCAACTTCTTCCATACACTATAATTAGTGATAAGATTGTTAAATTATTTTTATAAAAAATCTTAAAAAACATAATTTATATATTAAAAAAAACTTAAAACAAATATAAATATGTATAATTATCTTGTACATAGTACGAGTGATAAGCTCCAGTATATTAATTCAAGAATAAAGCTTGAGACCCCATCCCAATAACCCCAATGTCACGTGGTACCGCGTGATTGGAAGGGAAAGAAAAAAAAAATGTTTTGGCCTAGCGTGATTGGAAGGGAAAGAAAAAAAAAATGTTTTGGCCTACTGGGGTGCTGGGGTTCACATAAAATAAAATAAAAATATGTTATTTAGCTGATGTTAAAAAAAGCAAGATATTTTGTCAAATCTTTGATAGGACAGAGAGAGAGAGATAGGGTAGGAGAGGGGACTTGAGCCACTCACTGACTCACTCAGGCGTTTAGAAGAGGTAGGCAAATCATTCCCTTCGAAAACCATTTCTTGGATCAGCCGTTGTAACCTTCCCTACATTCCTATCCTGCAATTGCTGTTTGATACTCTCTTCTCATCTCAAATCCTTTATATATATACACATCTCTGCATACGATATGATATTGCTTATATTTCTGGGTTCTCTTCTTTCATCGTCTTCTATTATCTCTATCTTCTCGTTTTGCTAACATGTTTTGTATCATATATATATATAGCAAATTTCAGTGGAAAAAAGGGAAGAAAAAACAGCTAAAATGGCTTTTCTGCAAAGCACAAATGTAAATAGCACCATTTTATGCAAAAAGGGAGTGATTTCTCAAGTGGGTATTTTGTCTATTCCGTTCTCGCTACCCAGGGCCACAACAATTCAAGGTTTCCTGAGAGGTCAGTTGACACTTTTTTGTTTATTTAGTTTGTAAATTACTTTGAGCTTTTGGTGGTTCTTGTTAGATTGCTCTATTTGTTACATGTTTTTATTTTTATTTTTTATTTTTTTTAATAAATTTTTTGTTGAACTAATTAGAAATCATGTTTGTGGGATTTGACACTTGTTGAATTTCTGTTTTATTATTTTTTTTATTTTTACGTATTATTGGAATAATATAAACTCGGTATATAGGTTTTGTTGTTGGAAGAAGGAATGAAAAATGGTCCTGCAAATTTGGAGTCAAATTAAGTAACCATTATTGTCCTAAAAACATTCTTTGCCTTCTGTTGTTGATAATCATGCATGAGGCATCATCTTGAGTAGCTTCTTTAAAATTCATCAAATAGTCTACCGATTTCAGACTTCGATAAGCAGATATGTCGGATTCTTTTAGTACTCAAAGTTAGGATCCTGTTGACTAAGTCCACGCTCCTCCGTACGACGTCGCTTTGTCATCTGAAAACACAAACGTGAGCTAGCTGGCGGGTGTGTGCCGGAAACCTCTCCGATGCCTAAGTCAGAAAACTTGACAAATAGACAAAGTTCAATGTGTTCAGGAAGAAAAATTGTATGTTGTGTTATGTTACCTCCTCCAAGGTGATGCTTGTGAGCTTTTATAGGTTTCGAGTGGCACAATCCTAATGGGACTTTTATTTCTCCATGCAGAATCCTCCTAGGATTCATACTCCTAAAGGATAATGCTTATTCTTTTACACCTCCCATTGCTTAAACCAAGTGGGATGGTTTTCACCACGGCCGAACTGCCATACGACTGAGATAAACCTGGCTATACTGAGCCACAGAGTAGGTCGTACTAACAGTAGTTCGGTTCTTCCTCTTGCTGCGCCATATCTCGGTTCTCTCATACACGAACCATGGCGTGTTTGGACCGATCTACCGAGTAGCAACATTCCGACCGACCTACCCAGAATACATTATGGCCGGACTATCTCCGAGACCGGCATTACTAGAAAGTTGTACGGACCGAAGTAACTCAACATCTCTTCTGGGCCGAAGTAACTTTACCATTCCTGAACCGGAGTAACTTTCTTACTCTTGGACCGGAGTAACTTTTACATTTCCATTGGGCCTTTCTATCCAGTCCTTTATATTTTGGGTCATAAAGTCCATCTCTGTAGCTCGGCCCAATTTTTACCAAAAATTACCCTCTCAATTGCCCCTTAATTCCATCTGTACAACATGATTGGAATTACCTGTCTTTCAGCAGAACCGAAGTTTTGTAAGTATTTCCAGCCGAACTAAAATTTCCTTTAGCCTCTCGGCCGAACTTATCGTACTCCGGGCTCTGCTTGTCTGACCGAAACGTCTCTTCAATCACAGTGACTGTAACGCTTCCCATTCTATTCACACGTGGCACGCTCTGATTGACTGAGGACGGCTGTCACGCCGTCTTTCGTACTTCGCGAATTTTGAACAGTCCCGCCCAAATTTTGGGCTTTCTAACAAAAACAATCCCTGAGGCTAGGTCCCTTCACTTTTGCCATTCACTTCCTTCCTTCCTTCCTTCTCTTCGAGTTCTTCATTTTTCTTGCAACTGTAAAGTATACTTCGTGTGTGCCTCCTTTACTGTTGCCGCTTCCATCTAGATCTTCTTCAATCTGGTAAGCAAGCCTATCCTTCTTGCTCTGTTCATCTGTATATTTTGTTTTGTATGTTTTTTGCAAACATTTTGTCCATTTCTGATTCGCTTCTGTACTTTTATGAAAAAACATTAGCAGAACCCATGCGTGTATGAACTTCTGTAGAAAACTAGTCTTAGATCCAAAATTATGTAGCAACCGAACTAGGATACTGTTTGTCCTATATAGGTAGATCACTTTAGTCAATAACCGAACTAGAACTTGAATAAATAACAAAAGTTTCAATGAGTCACCAACTCCTGATTCTCTTTAGCCGAAATAAGGTCACCGAGGTTTGAACATATTAAACTAGGAACCTCGGTTTTCAACCGAACTAAGCTTTTGGGGCTAAGCCAGCTTTCTTAGTTTCTAAACCGAACTCAGAAAGCTGCCCCTAGAGGCTCAACCGAAGTAACTTTATTCATACTTCAACCGATTTAGGCCTTGGGGCTAAACCAGCTTTCTTAGTTTTTTAGACCGAACTCAGAAAGCTGCCCCTAGACGATGAACCGGTCTAACGAGCAACTTGCTCAAACCAAGCTACCAATCCTTTTGACGAACCGAGGTAGAACCTGTTCATGAGGCCGAAGTAGGGCTCTTATACCTTGCTTTTAACTTGTAGCACGGTCCAATGATCAGTGCTTAACCCCTTTGTTTTCTACTTTGCAGACTTAGGTTGCCCAGGCACATCTTCGTGCGCTCAACCGAGCTACTGAGCCCAATCTTCCGACCGAACTAATTTATTCTTAATTTATACCATAGATGGGTAAGTATAGGTACCTAGTAAACACTCCAGGCGGCCTAGCCGAATTCAGGAAGGACTGTAACATACCTGATGATGTCCACCTGACATTAGCCGAAAGAGATGTCATTCCTTGAGATAACGAAGGCTTTGTCCCCTTCACCCTTTTATCCATTATAGAAACCGGACTACGGTTTCCAGTCCAACCATTGATTTGTGAATTTCTTAGGCAGACTAGACTATGCCCTACCCAACTGTCCACTAATTCATACCGCATCATTATGGGAATAGCCAGTCCAACCATTGATCTATGAATTTCTTAGGCAGACTAGACTATGCCCTACCCAACTGTCCACTAATTCATACCGCATCATTATGGGAATAGCTGCACTGAACCAACAAGCCGGACTAAACCTTGGCCTGGCCGAAATCTTCCACCAATATTCCATTGGCTCAAAAGAAGATGGGTGGGTTTATTATCTTAGAATACGTCGCCGCCGAGAGAAGATAATTAAATATACACCGGACAAAGACTTAAACGGCGATGATTTTTTCTGGGTCTCTGGGAACGTTGAGGATTTTCAAGCCCAAATTCCTGGCCGACCTATCAATTGGAAAAAAGGAGAGCCCGGTAATTTTAACTTCGGTCTTCTTTCTTGCATATATTTCATTCTTTATTTCGGTTTGTTAGTCTATCAACCGAACTAACAGTTCTTCTTTCGCAGATTCCGCCCACCTCC